TTGAAATATTCAAAGTCACAATTGGAAATGATGAAAGTTTTATATTCTATCGCGTCGAAAGTTTATGTATTAAATGTTCAATGAAATATTCGCTGAGATTATATATTGAAGATTCTTCATCAAAATATAACGCCGGATTGTGGTGTAATATTTGCGAAGCTTCACAAAGGTGCACAGTTAGTGGATCTAATATCGCATTTGTTAAAGACACTTCTATTATGGTTCCTGAATCACTTCACGAATCTTTTTCAAAATGGCTTTTGCAAAAAGGATGGTGCTGAACTTTCAAGATCAAATTAAAGAAACTTTTGTATCAGAACCCAAAACAGCTTTTTTTTTCTCTTGACGAGCTATTTCGACTCTGACAAATATTTGTTAAACTAGCTCAATGGATAATTGTTCAGATGCATAAGCTTATGGTATTGGAAATTCCGACGTTTATCATGTAATTATTTCTGGAAAGATATCAATACGTTAACTATTGATTCTTTAGATGAAGACTATCAAGAATTAAAAATGCTCTCTTAACCTGATTTCAACACTTACTGCAGCCGATCCAGAAAAATATAATAAAGGTATTATTCCACGATAAACTATGAGAACGTGCACGTAGCTTCCGTTGCTACATACTCAAAAACTATATATAGAAACGATGTTCTATCAATTGTATTGGCTAATCAAGATGCATATGAAACAGAACCTGAGACTGATGATTATATGAAAACAGATTCAAAATTTATTTTGAGGATCAATCGCAGAAGGTATGAAGATATTATTAAAGCTGGTGATAATTTATTAATTGATTTATTAAATTGTTAATAACTATCCCGAAGACGATATAATATTTCAACCATTTTTATGTAGATCCGCTTATCCACCGGTCCTTCAAAACATTAATACACATGAATTCATGTTCGTACAGTGCATAGGAAAAATCTATCAAGTGAAATTTAGATGAGACGATTAGATGGTCTGAAATAATAAAATTAGTTGCGAAATTCCTGCATTAGGAATTTTAGATGATGGATTTATAAGGGGGTTGATGAACGATGTGTTAGATTCAGTTTGCGATGATGCTGCAATTGACGCTGTTGTAACCAGTGGACCAGATAGCATTGGAACTTTTACAATTGGAAGTATTGCAATTCTGAATGGTAATTAAAAAAATATTTATTAGACGGCGTCATTTTCACCAACACATCATTATTCATGGATGCGAAAGAATTTCTGATAAGGAAAATCTTACTTTGAAATTTTATCTGATTTATTTATTAATTAATTGTCGGATGCAACAGAACAGAGCAATAAGATCCACAAAGATGGCAAAGGTGGTAATTTAGACCAGACGGAAATGGTATAATACTATTTTTAATGATTTATAATAATTCACGTGGTTTATAATCTTAAAATTTTAATTTTTTTATATTTTTTTTAATTTTTTTTTTAAAAACAAAAACCTATTTCGTAGAGATAAATATGAGGATAAACCCTTGTCAGCTATTTTGTATCTATGGAAGGAATTGCATTGTTAAGTTCGATTGAAGATGATGGTGCGGGAATTACAGTTTGCAAACACAGAAATCAGAATATTTGAAATGAAATTACCAAGGTATAGCGTTACCAAATGGTAAGTTGCAAATCGATTATTAGCTTCAATTCTTTAAATTTTACATAAATAATTGATAATTTGTTTTCGTATTTGTTCCTTTAAATGCTTAAATGTAGATAACCTTTGATTTATGATGCCGAAATTACATCATAGTCAAATTCGAACGTCCAATCGGGCTCAACTTTTTCCAAACTTGCTTAAACATATACCGTTGTGAAATTTCTTTGATCTTGGTAGACATGAACTAAGGATGACTTTTGATGTTAACATATCTTGGAATTATCTTAATATTTCTTTGCGATCTGGTTCGTAATTGTGAACTTGTATTTATGCATTTTCTTTATAAACTTTTTTTCGGATTTGAATTAAATTTTAAATTATGCTTATTATAGATTAATTGAGTTTATCTTTTCCTAAATCTTAGGGTTTTTGGGACGTTAAAACCTTCAGCGCATTCACATCAAATAAACCTTTCCATTTTGTTAGTTCAACTTTTACATGAACATTATACTGATTTAAGTGATTCTATCATTGAAAAAAAAATAATGATTTAAGAGGGTAGTATAATAGGAATTGATTTTTTTATTTTGATAATAAAACTCTGATGTCTTCAATCAGAAGGATACTTATTTAAAAAGTTATAATATTAATTATTATTAAGATTAAATGTTCTAATTTTTCATAATAGTACTAACAATATTGAAAACAAATTAAATACAAACATTAAGTTTCGAATCATGTTCGACTACCGAATCGACGATTAAGGGATCTATCCTTATCCTCATCAGGTATAGCGTCGCTTGCATCAAAGATTATTTTGCCATCTGTATCGACTGACAAATGAAATATCAGCTTCCCTCGAGCGCCACCTTCATCAACCCATTAAAGTGCGGTAAGGAGCATCATTAATATATGACACAATAATTGTCGGGTGATTTGTTTGAAATTGTTGTTGCATGTTCCGATTATTTTCTCTTTTACAAAATTCTGGAATTTCAGATTCTGTAATAAATTAAGAACTGACTTTTACTATTCAACAACTGTTATCAATAACATCATTACGTTTCTTCCTAACGGGACGATAAACATTGCGATTTGATATAATATCATCCAAAGCTCATGTTCATGTTGAGTTTTGGATGATTTCATTGTTTTCCATAAATTCCAGAAATTTTTGGAAGAGAACGTTACTTTTCTCGTTCTTTCAATCATACCATCTCGATCTAGCAGAAATATTCTTTTGGAAACCTCTTTTCGAAAATGTAAACGTTTTTTTTGTAAAGAGATAATGTTATTTCTAGTTTCTGATTATTTTTATTGTGAGTGTTTTTAATTTTTGAAATGGAAGTTGAAATTGCCTCAAAAAGGGGGGGGTATTGTGTTTAGAAGTACTACCATTGGGAAGCATAAAATGCACAGCCTATAATATATTAACAACCACGTGATATGAACCACTAGTGATTTCTGTACAATCAACCGAGGGACTATTTTCGTGTTACCCGGACTAATATGTTTACACGAGTATTAATTAACCAATTGAATATAATTTATCATTAAAAAATACCTCAAAACTCTCTTATAGTTAGTTCTCTAAACTTTTGTCGATATAATCATAACTTTGTTATAACAAAAAAAAAAAAATTTAATAAAAGTTAATTGGTAAAATAAGAGAATCTGTATACAATTGCAACTGGGTCGCATATAGTTGTAATTTACTGTATTGTTTTAACATTGATAAAACAAATTTATTTTAACAATTCAGGATTATTTTCTAATGAACTATCATGCAAATTATGAATATCCCATTACTTTGAACTCTTGGTGCAATTCATTAATTATATTTCGACTGGCCAGAACATTCAACACGAATCATATGATGTCGAACGTGCTGTAATTATATATATATATAAAAAAATTAAAAGCTGATATTAAATATATTAATTATTTAAATTACTCATCCTAGAAAAGCAATTGTTGAGACGAGGTTCATCAGAATCATTTAATATTAATAGTAATTACGTCATTATTGGTTTTTATTTTAAAAGAAAAATAACGCATAAGTTTGTAAATAATTGAACGCTTTAGGAGATATCAGAGAGCAACTAATTTGAGTTTAGTATACAAAAATAAAAAAAGAAATGTAGTCCTCTGTACTTAATAAAAATAAATCTTTTGATAGCCACGTAATAGGATACCCTCAGTGAACTACCTCAATGTCATCGTTAAAGATTAAAAATGACATGTGTATATAATGTTCTAAAGAATAAGAAGAAAAAATGTAATGGAATTGACAGTCTGTTTCCTACTAGGACAGTTTAATATCATATAGCGCATCGAAATATTACCTAACTAATAATTCATAACAATTAAGTTATTCCATTAAGACCTTATTATTTAGCAAGGAGTTAGAACTCAAAAATACTGTTATATTGTAATATTATAAAGGATTTCAATTAAAATGCATGAAAAAAAATCTTAAAGAATGTGTGACATACTTTGCTCTCAAACCATTTACATACATAAAAAAAAATAAGTCTAAAATTACGTAACAGTTTTATTCAAATGCATTTTTGGTTCTTAATTCTAAATATAGGCCTGTTCATTTCTGATTTTTTGATTGGATTTTGAATTAATAATTATTTGGCTGATGAGTTAATTTTTTTTCAACAGCAACAGCAAAAATTTTCTCCCTCAGCAACAACAGCAAAAAATTCTTCTGGCTTGATTTAATAAAAAATGACGTTAATAAGTTTTTGGCATGTTATTATTAATAAAAAAGCAAATAAGCTAATCACATTTTAGGTTTGGTTAATAGATTTTGTGATCATAATCAGACTATTATCAACGGATCTGAAATTATCTTAATAGGGAAATAATAAACGTCAAACATCAGCCAACAAATTTGATTTGTTTTATCCATACTTCTATATGAAGAACGTTTTGTCATTGAAATTACAAAGAATATATTTTTGATCAAACAAACCTCATTTTTTTTTACATTGAATGCCTACTTTGACAATGAATCAATCCATTAATAATATTATTAATATTATTTTTTTATTTTAGAAATTTTGGTAAAAAAAGTAAATAATCCTTTGATTTGTGCTATATACGTGTAACCAATAAACAATTTTTTTTTTATAATCATTCTGCTAGATAAAAAAGTTGGGAAAAGATTCTTTGTGCAAAAATATAAGTCAATGTTACATTTAATTAACAAATTATTATTTTTATGACAAATAATAAAAATTTTTCATTATAAAAGAACCCTTCCATCGAAAAAAAAATATATATATCAGATTTATAACAAAGATATCAAAAAAAAAAAAAATTTATAAGTAACCCTGTAAACCCTTTCAAATTCACAATTTTGTGCGTTGTTCAAAATAAAATGACAACGACACATAAGCACAATAATAAACCTTCACAGAAGGTCAAAAGTAAAATTATAAAAATTAAAAATGTTGACTTTTGTCACTTGAATAACGTTCGTAAATTCTTCCTGTGAACTAGGAAAAAAGATTATCTGACAAACTGCTGGATGAAAGAAAGTGTATTCAGGAAGAAGAGTAATATACTATGTAAAGAAATTGGAGTATACTCAAACACAACTAGTCAAGAATATCTTGAAATACTCTCGGCTCTGCTAAAGCCTACTGAAAGAGAAGAATGTCGCTGTCATTAAATTGACCCTGCCAAAACTCCTATTCTGGTTTACAGCTGGAAAAGAAGATTATCCAAATACAGCTGGGGCAAGAAGAGGAGTATCCGGATACTGCTGTACAAGAGGAGTATCTGGGTACTGCTGCGCAAGAGGAATATCCCAGGTACTTCTAGGCAAGAGGAGTATCTGGGTACTTCTGGACAAAAGGACCGCCTGGATACTGTTAGGTAAAAGTAGTGCCCGGCCCGCTGATGATGGACTAGAGCCTACTGCACTCTAGGCAAGACTTTTAGCAAATGACGATTATCTTTGGATCTTTCTCAATTTAACTCCCTGCGAATAATTTCCATTTTTATACCTTATTAGCAACATTCACACACTAAATAAAATTTAGAAATTTTAAATTTATTACATTTTATCTGTTTTTTAAATTAATTTTATAAATATATATAATATTATAATAAATTTTAATTTTTAATTACATGTATATAATAAATAATTTAAGGTTACTTTAAGCTAAAAAATTTGTAATTTTTAAAAAAATTATAAATTAAAATTTTTATTATTGACCTTTAACCATTTTATTAACATTTACTTTTAATAATATTAATCATAATAGAATATTATAAAATTTATTATGAAGAATAACTTTAATTATTACAGTTTTTATAATTTACTA